TTCATACTTTGTACATTCCATGTTTCAATTTTCAATGGATGTTTATAGCTGCTTCTCTTCATTTTGAGTTGTACCCCATCAGCAAATGAAGGTCCTGTGGGCTTTTCTCCCACGGGCTTTTTTCCGTTTGCATCATCACTTTCAACTCTACTTTGAGGAGGCAGCTCCTCCCCAGTCACGTTTTGAGTGCCTTCCAACCTGAGGGACTCATTTTCTGGCACTATATCTGACAGTGTTTCTCTGCTATTCATAAGGTTTTCAGTGACTAAATATTTGAAAGTAGTTTGTCACTCCTTCTTCCTAGTCTGTCTTCGTCTGGAAGCTCATCTGAAACCTGTCCACCATGGATGACCCTGCTGGTATTTAGCATACCAGTGGCATAGTTTTCAGAATCACAGCAACTCACAAGCCACCACAGTACGACAAACTGACAGACATTTGGTAAAGGGACCTTCCACTTTACCAAACATTATAGTCTTCTTCAGGGACTGGGACCTCCTGACAATATATCTAAAGTATTAGAGACAAAGCCTGGCCATTCTGGCCTCCAAGGAGCATTCTGGCTATATTTTGTCCAACCCATATTAGTGTATTCTTTTGGCAGTTCATGGTACTTTTAATATTCTCTTGCAACACTGTAATTCAAATGCATCAATTCTTCTACGGTCTTCCTTTTCACTGTTTAACCTTCGCATGCACATGAGGTTATTGAAAATACCTCATATTTTCAATAAAGCATATCTTAGTCTTCAAACTGACATCTTTGCTCTTGAACACTTTAAAGGGGTCTTGTGCAGCTGATTTGTCTAATATGTAATTTGATTTCTTGACTGCTGCTTCCATGAATGATGATTGATCTAAGCAAAATGAAGGCTTTGACAACTTCAATCTTTTCTCCATTTATATGGATGAAGAATCACTGATATAAACTAACTATTAACCTTTTAATTTATGAAGATATATCAGACAGAAGTATACTTTATTCCTTGATTATCTTAAGGGGAAAAAAAATGAAAAAAGAAGTTGGCTTTTGGCCAGATGTGGTCTCTAGTCTTTTGTCAGTAGACTATTATTAAGACAGTAATACCAATTGTCTTTTGAATTGCAATTATATTTAATGTTTCATAGTGTGAGCATATTTGTTTAGATTTCAGAATTAGGTTAATTTGTAATAATTGTCAATGATTATACTTCTCAATGATTAAACATACTTATAAATGAGTAGCGTTATCTAAGCTTTTATGTTTATAGCATGTTAGAATGGCCATTTAGAAATTAAAAGGATTTTTCTGTTTTGTTTTGTTTTTTTAACTAGGAACATGGTGGCTCCATAGACTAAGCATTGGAATGTGAACCACAAGGTCTGCAATTTGAGCCCAGCAGCCACACCCCAGGAGAAAGATGAGGTTTTCTGCTCCTGCAAAGGTTAAAGCCTCTGAATTCCTATTCAGGGTCCCTATGAACTGACATGACGGCTCTGAACTACAACAAAGCATATTTATGAATATCTTCTGTGCAAATTCCCTCAAATCTACCCATTACTATCTATTTATTTAGCCCAATTCTATATAAATTTTCTTTTCTTTTTTTTAAAATTGAGGTGTCGGTGAAAGTGTACAGAGCAATTTTGTTTTCCATTCAACAATTTATAAACATTTTGTTTTGTGACATTGATTGTGATTATAACACTCTTTCGCTTCATCACTCATTTCCAGGTTATCATTTGTCCTTTTAAATGCCCCTTCTTAGCTTCTGAACTTTGTTTGGAGGCAAATGCTGTCTTTTGGTCTCTTGTGGTTGATTGTTCTGAGGAGAGATATTCATGTTTACATCTAACTGTTGTTTGGCTATAAGGTGATCTCTGGGAGTAGGTTCAGAGCCAAGTTTGAAGGGTGTCTAAGAGCCACGGTTTCAGGGGTTCCTTTAGTCTCTATCAGAGCAGACCATAAAGAGTCTGTTCTTTTTCAGATTCTGAATTTTGTTCTACATTTCTGTCCCATTCTGTCTAGGTCCTTCTGTGATCTCGATCAGAGCAACCAGTAATGGTAACTGGGCGCCATCTAGTTCTTCTGGTATCAGGGTAGTGAAGGCTGTACTTTTCATAGTTATATAGATTGAAAATTTTAAATCTTTTCATAAATAGGATCTCATTTCATTTCGTTCTCTCAGCAACCATAAGTAGTGAGTTAATAACAAGCTGGTCGAGGAATCAATGGGATACCATGGAAAGAAAAATTCCAAGTAATACATGCTAGAGCTTCAATTCTGTCCCCACTGCTCACTGACTGAAAACTTACATAAGTTTTTCAGCTTCTGTGCACCTCAGTTTCCTCATTTGAAATGTGGGCTTGTTCACAGAGTGGTCTTCAAAGTGCTGGTAATGATGTTCTGTGTCTTGGTCTGGAGCTGGTTCACAGAGTCCTCACTATGTTAAAAAAGCACCCTGTGCTTCTGATTTCTGCGTTTTTCTATATATTGCAGTTCAATAAAAATTTATCTTAAGAAAACCTAAACCAAACAAAAAATGTGACTTGTTAAGCCTTGGAGGAATGTTGGGAGGATTAAATGACATGGGATATGTTTGTTGTTGTTTGGTGCCATCGAGTCGGTACCGACTCATAGCGACCTATGCACAGCAGAGCGAAACACTGCCCAAACCTGGGCCAACCTCACTACTGTTGCCATACTTGAGTCCATCAATGCTGCCATTTGGCCAGTCCATCTCCTTGTGGGTCTTCCTCTTTTCCTCTGACCCTCCACCTTACCAAATATGATATCCTTCTCCAGTGACTGGTCCCTCCTGACAATATGTCAGAAGTATGAGAGACGAAGTTTGGCCATCCTGGCCTCCAAGGAATACTCTTCCAAAATGGATCTATTGGTTCTTTCGGCAGCCGGTGGCACTTTCAATATTCTCCTTCAACACCATAACTCAAAAGCATCAATTCTTCTATGGTCTTCCTTATTCACTGTCCAGCTTTTGCATGGATATGAGGTTATTGAAGATACCATGGCTTGGGTCAGGCAAACCTTAGTCCTCAAACTGACATCTTTGCTCTTCAATACTTTAAAAGGTCTTATGAAGCAGATTTGCCTAACACAATACTTCATTTGTAGCAATATATAAAAGAGGTCTTACCAGATCCTAAACCTAATAATTTCTAAGTAACCAAAAGAATAGACAAAGAGCCACAACTAGAGGGAAGAGAGACAATCTGCAGCTACAAGTCAAGATGAAGGGCCTGCTAGCAGCTCCTGGAAGCTGAAATAGACAAGGAAGGACCTCTGCCTAGAGCCACACTCAAATTTGGACTGTGAAAAAATTAATTTCTGTTATTAAAATTACCCATTTGTGGCATTTCTGTTACGGCAGTACTGGGTAACTAAGACACTTGATAACTTCAGTGATTTAAAAAATCTGTTATTAATGGAATTTTTGTATTCCCCCCCCCCCAAAGAAGATTTTCTCCCATCTGAATAACCTTTCAGTCCTAAATCCTGAATGAATGATACAAATTTCTAAAAATAACCTACCTCCATAAAGGCTTACTTAAGAAATCCCCTTTACTTTGTCAATGCCTACTTCTGTAAGCATATGAACTGTGAGAATTCCAACCCAAACAGCTCTGGAGTCCATAAGTGAGGTTCTCAGGATGCCATGTCAATTCCTAAGAAGGAAGTGTATAATGATGATAAAAAGAAAGAAAAAAAGAAAGAAAAATCAGGATAGGTAACTCATAGGAACTGGGTCCTGCAAGGCAAACAGTTGGTGAATGGTGATATCATAAACTTGTATCTTTATATGATTTTTATTTTTGTGGTAGGGTTCCAAACATGTTTACTCATTTTCTCTTTAAATTTTATTTTGTTTTTGAGAATACACAACAAAACCCACACCAGTTCAACAGTTTCTACATGTACAATATAGTGATTTAATAATTAATTCTTTAGATGCTGGTTAGCTTAGGTAGAGTTCCACAGAAGTTATTCTTTGGTTTTCTTTGATGTCTTAGCTGTCTAGTGCTGCTATAACAGAAATGCCACAAGCTTTTAACAACCATAATTTTCTTCTTTCACTGTTCAGGATGCTGAATTCAGAGAGCCCGGCTAAGGAGACAGGTCCTTTTTAGCATCTATAGGCCCAGCATTCCTTGGAGTTTGCTTTGTGTCTTGGCATCCAACTTCCTCTGGATCTATAAGTTTCACAGTTCAGGAATCCCAGGCCCAAAGGATGCATTTCACTCCTGACTCTTCTATCTGTATAGTAAGTTCCTCACAGAATCACTAAATCAGGTATATGTTATTGTCAGGGGCCAAGGAGTGGATTTTGATTCATAGGTGACCCCATATAGCAGAGTAGAATTGCACCAGAGTTTTCTAGGAGCACAAAGTCAGGTTTTTCTCCTGAAGGGGCTGCCTGAAGAGTTCAGAGGGAACCACCAACTTTACTTAGTTATCAATCCAGTTTAACCCTTGCACCACCAAGGTATTCCAGGTACTGGGATGGTTGAGATTTTAGCTTGGGCTTGCTCTCACTCCCTAGCCCATTTACTGCTGCTATCTTTAAAGTTTCCCAGCACTTGCTACTTTTAATTACTTTCCCCCCTCCTAAAACTGTCTTTGCGTCTCTGTTAAAATGCTTTGAATTAAAGTTCCTAACCTCATCTCCCAATTAGACACTGAGTTCTGAGAAGCACAACATTGCATAGACTCCTTTCCTCCCCATTAACTGCAATTTCGTTTAAAGTTGGTAGTTTTGTAAATTTTTAAATATTGAGTGCCTAGTGTGTGCCAAGCATCGTGTGTGCCATTGGGGGCGCAATGCTTAAGCGGCAGCCACAGAGGCCCGGAACAAGGAAGACTAGACCGGTAGCGAAGGAGGACTGAAAGGAGGTGGAGAAGACAGAGAGGAAGAGGAAAGAGGGGCTGGGGAAGGAGAAGGAGGAGTTTAGTGCTGCGGCCGCGTGGCCTGTTAGGTTAGGTCTCGGATCTGATGACCGTATGGCTTCGGTCTCCGCTGCCGTGTCCTCTGGCCGCGGGGCCCGGAACCTGCTGCAGTTCCTGCGGCTGGTAGGGCAGCTCAAGGTGAGCAGGCGTCGGGCCGGGCCTCGGGGGCCGGGGGCCGGGGGCCGGGGGCCGGGGGCCGGGGGCCGGGGGGCGACGGCGCGGGAAGCGGCTGGGGTGGTGGCCTAGTGCGGATCCGAGCCTCCCACTCCCGTTCGGCCTTCCCTCTTTCCTCCCTCCCGTCTCGCCCGGAAAGCCCCTCTAGATGCAGTCTGTGCGCTGCACGGTAGGCGGAGGAAGAGAGCTGGTAGAGGGAGCGCGCGGCCAGGTACTGAGGCCGAAGGCAGGGGGTCGAGAGGTGATCCCAGCATTGCAGCTCTTGGGGGGCGTCTGCAAGGATACATTCCGCGGTCAATGACGCTGTAACGAGCGGTGCTTCTGGAAGATCAGAATCCATCGAACTTGCAGATTCAGTGGGGTGCTTAAAATCTGTCTCAATTCTTCCAAATAAAAAAGTCGATGTTGAGCCTTTTATATAATAAAAACCCAAACCAAACTCGCAGACACCCAGTAGATTTCAGCAAATAGAGATGAGTAGAATTGTCCGAACGGGTTTCCCAGGAGCCTCGGTGGTGTGTAGACTAAACGTGATATTGCTCTCTGCTGTCGGCTTCCTGAAGGATTTGCAACCTTGGAAACTCTGGACACTTTTATTATGACACATAAGGGTTTGGTAAGGTGGAGGGTCAGAGAAAGAGAAGACGACCCCCAGCGAGATGGATTGGCAAAGTGGCAGCAACAATGGGCTCAAGCGTGGCAACAATTGTGAGGTTGGCCCAGGATTGGGCAGTGTTTCGTTCTGTTGCGCATAGGGTCTCTATGAGTTGGTACCGACTCGATGGCACCTAACAACAACGAGTCAAAATCGACTGATAGCACTTTTATTTTTCAAATCTTTCGAGAAGAGCAGACTGCCATATCTCTTGTGAAGTGTCGTCGAGTGGATTCCGACTCATACCGGCTCTGTATAGGGTTTCCAAATAAAGGCTGGTGGGTTTGAACCGCCGACCTTTCAGTTAGCAGTCCAGTGCTTGCATAGGGTTTCAGAGGAGCAACTGTTGGATTTGAACCGCTGACATTGCTGTCCAATGCATTATCATACAGCACTACACCAGGACTCCACTGCTGCTTTTTATATAATGTTGTTAAGTGTTGTAGGGTCAGTTCCAACTCATAGTGACTTTGTATAGTTTCTGAGGAGCGGCTGCTGGGTTTAAACCACCGACTTTGGGGTTAGCAGTCCAGTGCTTAACCTACAGCGCCACACCAGAACCTCTTTTTTATAATACTAATGGTAGTGTAGTGGTTAGGAATCAGGCTGTTAACCTCAAGGTCGGCAGTTCGAAACTACCAGCCGTTCTGCCGGAGAAAGATGAGGTGTTCTGCTCCGGTAAAGATTTATAGCCTCGGAAACCCTGTACAGGGTCACTATGTGTCAAAACAGACTCCACAGTACTTAACAACAACAACAAGCGTGCATCCCTTGACCAGTCCTGATTTAGTTAATGCTTTTGGTGATGGTTTTCTCCAAATCTTTCATGCCACAGTTGGTATTATTAACAAAATTCTGTAGAAATTTAGTATTCTGAAGACAAAATACAATAGCACCTAGTCACATAATGATCTGGTTGTTGTTGTTAAGTGCCCTGGAGTTGGTGCTGACTCATAGGGACTCCATAGGGTTTAAAGGATCAGCTGGTGGGTTTGAACTGCTGACCTTGCAGTTAGAAGTCCAGTGTTTATCCTATATAGCACTACATCAGGACTCATTTGCTGGTTGTTAAGTGTCATCGAGTCATTTCTGATTCATAGAGACTTTGTATAGGGTTTCCAAAGACTGACTTGTAGGTTTGAACTCTCAGCCTTTAGGCCTGCAGTACAGTGCCACACCAGGACTCCTTTGCTGGTGGTTGGTTGATTATGGGACATGGCGCCAATTCCGACTCATAGCGACCCTGTATACAGTTTCTGAGGCTGTAAATCTTTAAGGGAGTAGAAAGCCTCATTTTCTCCTGAGGAACAGTTAGTAGTTTCAAACTGCTGACCTTGAGATTAGCAGCTCAACTCATAACCACTATGCTACCAGAGTGCCTTTCATTTGCTGGTTGTTGTTGTTGTTAAGTACCATGGAGTCGATTGATTCCGACTCATAGTGACCCTGCACCATGTTTCCAAGGCTGTACATCTTTACAGGAGCAGAACGCCTCATCTTTCTCCCACGGAACCGTTGGTAGTTTCAAACTGCTAACCTTGAGGTTGGCAACCTGACTCGTAACCACTACGCTACCAGAGCTCCTTTGCTGGTAGTGCTAAACAATTTAAAAATATTTTATCTGTTATGCATCAGAATTGAGGAATTTGTCACTGGATTGGTTTCATAACTTTCACCCCAGTGTTTTCTTCTTATATGAAAAAGGGGTCATTCAGAGGCAAAAACCAACGCTTGTAGTTACGAAAAATAAGATACTGTCCTGTTTTTTTTAATTGTGTTTTTGTTAATTGCCCTCCAATCATGTGTTAGCAGAACTGCTCCTTAGAGTTTTCTGGACACAATTCGCTCCATGGGAGTGGGTAATCTTAGCAGATCTGATTGGCAGGCCGTTTTCTCCAGGGGAACAACTGGGAGGGGCCATGGAGCATAATTCATTTCAGTCATCTATTCCCTCATAGATGAACAACCTGGGTTGGAACCAACTTGATGGCACTTAACAACATAGGAACTTTTCAAATCGCTTGTATATATCAGTAACACAATGGTGTGGCACTGTAAAATAAGCACTGGACCATAAGGCCTGTTTGAACCACATGGTCTGCAGTTCAAACTCATCAGTCACTCTCGGAAACCCTAGATAGGGTCACTGTGAGTTGAAACCAACTTGACGGCACTTAATAACAACAGCATAGTAACTTGACTATTGAACTTTTACATTGCATACTTTTAAATCCGGGCCCTGGTGGAATAGTGGGTTACACACTGGACTGCTAACTAACAGGTAGCAGTTCAAATCTACCAACTGCTCTACGGAAGAGAAATGATGCTTTCTGCTCCAGTAAAATTTAAAACTTCTGAAACCCTATCGCTGTGAGTCCATACCTAACTTGATAGCATAGCATCACCACTCTTTGAATCACTCTTGTAACCAGTCACCCTCCTCCTACTAGGATTTATTTCATTCCAGCTGTTGATCTTTCAAATTAGTTATGTCAGTTCCAACTCATGGTGATCCATGTATGTCAGAGTAGAACTGTGTTCCATATGGTTTTCATTGATAGCTTTGTCAGAAGTAGATAACAGAGCCTTTCTTTCTTTCAAAGTGCTTCTTGTTGGACTCCCATTACCAACTTTCTGGTTAGCAGCCAGATGCACTAATAGTTGGCCCCACCCTACTTAAGTAAACCAAAACAACTGAATCCATTGCCACCATAAAAAATGGTGCAGCCGCAGTGCTCAGAAAACTCACTGCCACTGAGTTGCAGGGCTACTGGAGCAGAAAGCTTCATCTTTCTCCCACGGAGAGGATGGCGGATTTGAACTGCTGACTTTGTGGTTAGCAGTCCAGTGCTTATCCTATAGTACTATGAGGACTCTTTATTTAAGTAAAATATTGTTTAAGTACATCGTAAAATCTTGACATGACCCTGCTTCTATGCATCTGTTCCCTGGATATCTTTTGAAGAGCATGGCATGCAGTTTAAATGATATTTGTTTATTAAAGTTTTTTTCTTCATTTTTTTCAGAGGGTCCCACGGACTGGCTGGGTATATAGAAATGTAGAGAAGCCAGAGAGTGTATCGGATCACATGTACAGGATGGCAGTTATGGCTCTGGTGACCAAAGATGACAAACTTAACAAAGACCGGTAAGCTGAGGGGAATTTTTATGTCAATGAGGAGCTCTGTGAAGGGATGCTGGAGGTGCAGTGGTTAAAGTGCTTGACTACTAACCAAAAGGTCTGGTTCAAACCCACCAGACACTGTGCAGGAGAAAGATTCAGTAATTGATTCTGTGAAGATTTACATCCTTATTCTACTCTGTGCTAAAGAGTCGCTATGAGTCAAAATGAACTCAATGACAGTGAGATTTTTGAGGGTCTCTGCTGCACCATTTTTTATGACTAAAGCCTGTGTCTTGTGCATTAGTTTACACGTATGCAAAAATGGAGGCAAAACAAGATTCTGTGTATATTGATTGCTTCAGTTGTTTTAGATTAAATCTAGGTTTTCTTTGGCAAAAGAGAGAGCCTTCCATGGACTCAGAGAATACTATGCATGATATTAGGGTTTCCAAGGCTTTGAAAGTGAATGTTCATGTCTAAAATTCTATCACTATATTAGTGCACTGTGACTTGTACTTAATCCCTTTTATGACTAGTAACACCCATTTGTAAGGTGTTTTTTGGCTTTATACAAGCTAGAGATTGCTGAGAAAGTGATACCATCTCCCCTCCCCCTCAGTCAGTCAACAAGTGTTTAAAATGCTTTTTTAAGCACAGGCGAAAAGTTCATTTATTAGCAATGTGTAAGACAATAAATAAATCCCAAATGAATTGCAGAGGCCCTAAGTAACTTCTGTTGTTGTTATGTTGTTAAGTGTCATGGAGTCAATTAAGACCCATGTTTTTGTTGTTGTGTGCCGTGGAGTCAGTTCCGACTCTTAGTGACCCTGTATAGGGTTTCTGAGCCTGTAAATCTTTATGGGAGCAGAAAGGCTCATCTTTCTCCCGCGGAACAGCTGGTAGTTTCGAACTGTTGACCTTGTGGTTTGCAGCCCAATGCGTAACCACTACGCTACCAGAACTCCTTATTAAGACCCATAGCGACCCTGTATAGGATTTCCAAGGAGCAGCTGGTGAGCTTGAACTGCCGACCTTGCAGTTCAAACGGCTTTGCAGTCTGTCGCATTAACCCACAGCGCCACACCAGGACTCCGTCTGTAGAAAGTACCTAATAAGTTGTTATATTAGAAAATTTGCCAAGTATGATGATAGTAGGGGAGGTCATTGGTTCTTGGGGATCTTAATGCAGAGGCTGAATCTGAGTTGATCGTTAAAGGATGGGTCTACATCGGGAATTGTTGTTAAGTGCCAAAGAGCCAGTTCCCACCAATAGTGGCCCTGCGTAGGATTTCCAAGGAGCAGCTGGTGAGGTTGAACCACTGACCTTGAGGTTGAAACGCACTTTGCAGTCCAGTGCATTAACCCACAGCGCCACACCAGGACTCCTACATAGGGATAGGGAGAGCAAGGAGGCAAAGGCACGGCACACAGAGAGAAAGGCATAGAAACTCACGCTCTGGTCAGTCAGGGAAATTAAAGGTATGTTTCAGAAACGAGTAATTCCGTTTTGATTGTGTCAAAGGACTTATTTAGGAAGCCTTGGTGCTATAGGTTTAAACACTCGACCACAGGATCAGTTTAAACCACAAGGCAGGTGGTTCAAATCCACTAACCGCTCCTTGGAAACCCTGTATAGAGTCGCTATGGGTCGGAACCAACTTGACAGCACTTAACAACAGCAATAGGATTCCTATTACTTTATAGAAGATGTGGAACAAATGAGATTTCTTGGCAACTAGCACAGGATGAAAGTAATGTTGTGTGAATTTGAGAATAGGAGTAGTTTGGTATTTGCATTGAATAAAAGACTGGAGGCAAGGAAACCAAAGGGAGGCTGTTAGGCCTTGAACTGCCTTTGTAATAATGGGAATGTAAACATATTGTCTCTCTGGGGCATTTACCTCATGACCTGTCTTTGTTATTTAGATGAAAATTATCATACTCATTCACTAATCTCATTGTCACTAATCTTCAGAGCCATTTGGTGAATGACTAACATATGCCAGGAACACAAATTACCAAATTTAATTTTCATACTAACCTCATAAAATACTGCTGTGCCTTTTATATAGATGATAAAATGTAGGCTGGCAAAATTGAATTTTAAAGAAGTTCAAGAATTTAGCAAGACCACACAGCTAATAAGTGTTCACGATGAATTCAAACTAAAGGCTATCTTACTGTAGCTATTATTCAATAACCACCTACTTTGATGTAACCAAGTGGTTCAGAAGCAAGATATTAAGTATAAAAGAGAAATGATTGTTTCAGTAAACAAACACTACAGCCAGATCATCTCTTGAGTTTGTAAGCTGAAGTGATTAACCTTTCACAGTGAAATTTCAGAAACTAGCCAGCTTTCTAAAAAAAAAATATTCATTGTATTGACAATAATTTCCTTTGCATTCGTAGATACGAGGAAGCTTCAAGAAGTTTGTGGAAAAGTCCATTATCTTTTCATTCCATTTTCCCACAAACTTTGTAAAACCCCTGTCATATGATGTTGGACATTAGCTAGCCATTTTTATTCAGAACTCTAGGCTGAAAGAATATAATCATTTTAGAAAACTATTGTATTAAAATACCCTGTGAAGGTGAAAAGAGAAAATATATTATGTAAATTTAAAATCGTATAGAGCAGGCACTTGTAGTGTGTATGATTCTGTGTAATTATTTAACATTTCTTGCCTGGTTAGATGTGTACGCCTAGCCCTCGTTCACGATATGGCAGAATGCATCGTTGGGGACATAGCACCAGCAGATAACATCCCCAAGGAAGAAAAACATAGGCGAGAAAAGGTCAGTGTTGACTAATGACTGGAGAAGGCCACAGAAAAACTTGTGACTCAAGAAAAGCTAAGTTCGTTAGGATTATTGTAAGGAAGAACATCACCTTGATAGTCTTAGTGGTGGCTTAGGAAGGGAAAAATCAGGGAGGAGATAGGTGCAGGGTTTTAGCATCTGGGCTGGAGAATGTTATAAAGGATCTTACAAGATAAGCAGTAAGTTTGGGTTGGACCAAATTCAAGGCAAAAGAATTTTGAATTTGTGGAACTGTGAAGCAAAGTCCTGGCATCTAGAAGATAAACTACTAGTTTTAATATGTGCAATAATTTAGATGGTGTGCTCTCTTATCTTCCAGAAGCAAGGATTCCCTAGCTTGTGTGTGTGCTCTCAGCTTGGTTTAACACAGGGATAGAAAATTAGGTTGATTTCAGTTCTGATTACTATGTGGACATAGATGGTATAGCTAAAGGAAGAGCTGAATCTGTGCGTATTGTTTTAAAGATGGAAGTCATGCCACTAGTATTGCCACTAGTATTGCAAATACCATCTGGGTCACAGGTTGGACACAGGTGGACAGGTTGCAGCAGATCTTCCAGACTAATACATTGTAGGAAGAAAGGTCTGGTGATCTACTTATGCATCGCTATAGAACGTTGCCAATTCACTAACTCTGGCCAAGAGGATGGATCAAGAATCAATCTCTGGAGAAGGACATTGTGTTTGGTAACGTATAGAGGCCCAGCCATGGCGAAGGAGGCCATCAGTGAGATGGATTGGCACAATATTCAGTACAGTAGATTCAACATGCCTGTGATTATGAGGATGTCACAGAGCCAGCCAACATTGCTCTTGTACATGAGGTCACCATGTTTCAGAGTGGACAGCAGCTACTATCATCATTCCAAGTTTAACCGTTGTTATCTTTACTATTGATGCGGCACTGTAGTAGGATCAGCACTGGACCATGAACCACAGGTCAGCAGTTTAAACCCACCAGCTGCTCCTTGAAAACCCCATGCAGTGTCACTGTGAGTTGGAAGTAACTAATGACACTTAACAACAACAATAATTATTATTATTTGGTAATCCCAAATTAGTCCTTTAAATGGTCTACAGAAATAAAAATAGTTGTATTTTTAAGAATGAGTAACATCAATTTAATATTAAAGCTAAATTTATACACTAACCCTTTACCCAGGACCAAAAAGGGGGAGCATCTTTGAAGCAAAGTCTGGAAAATCCAGGACGTCTTTTTCCATGTCAAACGGTTGGTTCTCCAGGAATTACCATAAGCTGCCTGACCCAAACCATGGTATTTTTAATAACCTCATATGCATGCGAAAACTGGACAGTGAATAAGGAAGACTCTAGAAGAATTGATACTTTTGAGTTATGGTGTTGGAGGAGAATATTGAAAATGCCATGGGCTGCCAAAAGAACCAATAAGATCCATTTTGGAAGAAGTGCAGCCAGAGTGCTCGTTGGAGGCCAAGATGGCCAAACTTCATCTCTCATACTTTGGATATATTGTCAGGAGGGACCAGTCGCTGGAAAAGGATATCATGTTTGGTAAGGTCTCCACCTTACCAAAAAAAAAGGAAGGAAGACCCCCAAGGAGATGGATTGGCCAAGTGGTGGCATTGATGGACTCAAGTGTGGCAACAGTAGTGAGGTTGGCTCAGGATCAGGCAGTGTTTCATTCTGCTGTGCATAGGTCACTATTAGTTGGCACAGACTCGATGGCATCTAACAACAACTTTTATTGTGGCACTGTGGTTTAATGCGCCAGACTGCAAAGCCGTTTGAACTGCAAGATTGGTGGTTCAAGCTCACCAGCTGCTCCTTGGAAACCCTATACAGTGTCGCTATGGGTCGGAACCGACTTGAAGGCACTTCACAACAACAACAACTTTTATTGTTATCAGAGAAGCTGGTCCTAGATTGCTAAGTGGAGTGAGCCTTTTGTACAATGGCTTAACAGAGTGAGCTTCAGCAGTTGTTCTCAGAGTTGGGGAGTGGTCAATGGACTTTTTGCATTGGGACCAAAAGAACTACTTGTAGCCTGGTCACCTTCCTAAACATGATAAAATAAATTTTATATTAGAACCTGAGTTGGTAAATGCCATCCAATAAGGATTATCAAGATCTATTGGAACCCTCACCACTGGACCAGTAAATAACACGATAAATGGAGATAAAGAAAGAAGTTGTCAAAGACTTCATTTTGCTTAGATCCACTATCAATTCTCATTGAAGCAGCAATTCAAGAAATCAAATGACATACTGCATTAGGAAAATCTACTGCACACGATTACTTTAAAGTGTTCAAGAGCAAAGATGTCAGTTTGAGGAATAAGACACACCTGACGTAAACCATGGTATTTTCAGTCATCTCAGATGCATGTGAAAGTTGGAAAATGAGTTATTTTGTTGGAGGAAAATATTAATATTAAAAGTACCATGGCCTGCAAGAAGAACAACCAAATCTGTGTTGGAAGAAGTAACAGCCAGAATGCTTCTTAGAAGCCAGGATGGTGAGACTTGGTTTCACATACTTCGGACATGGTATCAGGAGGGCTAGTCCCTTGAGAAGGACATCATGCTTGGTAAAGTGGAGGGTCAGCGAGAAAGAGGAAGACCCCCAACAAAATGGATTGGCACAGTGGCAGTGGCAAAGGATTCAAAGTTAGCAACAGTTGTGAGGATGGTTGTAGGATGAGGCAGTGTTTAGGATCCTCTTGTGCTTAGTGTTGCTATTAGTCAGAACCAATTCAACTGCACCTATTATCAGCACCAACAGTGGGATGGAACTTGAGGCTGGAATATAGCTGTGGCAAGTTTTACCGCTTTGTAAATGGAAAAACGTAAGATGAGAGGTGGAGTCACAGTCACAGTAGGTGTGTATCCGTAATGATTAATGGTGCTAAAGAGCAGGGGGATTAGAAGACAACTATGGGACTTTTATGGAACAAACATGACAGGATATAGAAAATGAAAAGTAGATTATTTTTAATTGTGTTTGAGTCTGTTCAGACTCAGTGCGATCTTGTCTAGGGTTTCTGAGAATGTCTGGTGAGTTTGAACCTCTGACCTTGTAGTCCAACAGACCTTATATTATAGTCTAGTGCTTATCCTACAGCACCACATCAGATCTCCCAATAAGCACTTTATGTTTGTGTGTGTGTATATATATGTATATATGTGTATATATATATATATATATGTGTGTGTAAAGGAGCTCTGGTAGCATAGTGGTTATGAATCGGGCTGCGAACTGGAAGGTCAGCAGTTCGAAACTACCAGCTGCTCCGCGGGAGAAAGATGAGGCGATCTGCTCCCGTAAAGATTTACAGCCTCGGAAACCCTATTCAGGGTCGCTATGGGTCGAAACCGACTCGACGGCACTTAACAACAACAACAACAACATATATATATGTGTGTGTGTGTGTGTGTGTAAAGTTTTTTAACCACAAAGTCAGTGGTTCAACCACACTAGCTGCTTCTTGAAAACTCTAGACAAGGTCGCTATGAGTCAGAATCGACTCTAAAGCACTTAAGAGCAGCAATGTATGTATATGTAAGTATGAATTCTGGTTTTCCATGAACCTTTTGAAACCCTCTCATATTAACCATTTCAGTAATCTTTCTTGGTAGGTACTATTATTAAGCCCATTTTACAGTTGAGAAGCATGAAGGGCAGAGAGGTTAAGTAACTTTTTTAGGGTTCCACAGCTAGTAAATAGCCAAGCAGGGTTTAAACCCAATCTAGATCTAGAATGTATGCTTAATGACTAGTGTTTAGCCTCCTCAGTGACAAGTGGATGATATGTAATGCTTTCCAGATACTTGTCACGAAGCTGACACAGACAGCTTCTGAAGCCTCATTCAGCTCACTACTTTTAGCAAAGTCTTGACATGTTTTACTAACAGCAAGAAGCTAAGGAAATTGTCAGTCTAAGTCTGTCTGAACAACAAGGTGAAGGAACTCAGAAAGAAGGTGTGAGGAGTAGGGAGTGTATGGCTCAAAACCAAGACGAGAAATGTATACTGAACTTTAGTGATGTTGGTTTTAGAGAATTGGTTTAAATGGTAGGTCTAACTCTGTGACGTATGCCACTGAATGATGGATATTGACATTCTAACAGGTCTTAAAATAACAATGCTGACTGAATAGAATAGCAAGTGAAATCAGTGTGTGGAACCCTCTAAGAAACTTAGATTAAAGTAATCTCTAATTTTTTTTTTTTTTTTTACAAAAGCAATATGTGCTAATTGACAACATTTTAGATAGCAGGAAAAAACATCCTACAAATCACTCAGAATTCCACCATCCTTCAAGTTTTTTCTAAAACATACACATGACTTATTTTGTATATGTAAGATGTGCTCTTTCTATACTCTGAAGTGCTTTACTTTATTTTAGGTTAATGAAATTGCTGCTTTTGTAGGCAGAAGAGGAAATTTTGTCAGTTTTAAGTAGTTCAAGCTATTGCAAACATTTTTCTATCATTTAAAAAAAAAATCTGTAAATTTAGATTTTCCATTTATGTGTTTAAGCCACAATTTTTAAAATGATGTTCTTTATTGTTAAATGTTTTCAACTTTTTTTTTTCTGTAATAAAACTGGAGGTAAATCTTTGTCCATATTTCTGATTTATTTCTCAGAGTACATTCCTAGATGCAAAATTATTGGATCTACATATTTATGTCTAGGTATACCTTTTGACTAGTGGCTTTCCAAAATATTCAGACCAATCTAACAATATGTGAAAAAAGCCCCTTATTCTTGAATCTTTACTAGCATTTAGTATTGTCATTTTTGAAGTCATTGCTAATTTGAAAAGAATGGCTACTTGTTTTCATTTCCCTCTCCTCTCTATTGAGGATAAAATAATTGATTCTTAGTTCCTCCTCTGATAGTTTTTTTTTTTTTTTTTCCTGTGCTTCATCCATTTTTCTATTGGGATATTAGTTTTCTCAGCTATTTCTTTGTGTTTTGATTTTTAAATGTTACACAGACATGCACACAAAACTGTTTTTGTTTTATTGTTTAGGGTGGCAGTGTAATCAGATGTGAGGTATGTCATCATTTAATAATAGTGAAGTAACAAAGGTGGCAAGTAAAAGAAATGAAAGTAGATTGAGGGAGATTAAATACTGGCAATCCCCTGTGTTCCCATGTGCTTTCTTGAGAAGGACTGGAAATGGACATGACCCAGACTATTTTCCTGAGAGTGCCCACAGTGTGTGTTACCTGTACAGTCGTCATGGGAGACAAGTTTTGGGCTGCTGGTCTACAGGACCTGTTCCTCAAATGTGTAAATCGCATGAAGCCAGGGGGACGGCATCCAAATCTAACGGTCTTTATGTAATAGACACTGGACAGAGAAATATAAGGTCTTGAGCCAAGACCTAGAATTTACTGCTCAGTATCAGGAAGGAATAAGTGAGTAATTGGATGGGATCTCCAGAATGCCAAGTCAGTCTTGGGCATCCTGAGTCTAGTGACGAGCCTGGGAGAGGAAGTGGTTGCATTTAGTTCCACCTTGGTCAGACCACACATTTTCACTAAGTTCAGTTCTGTATATACCACCTTAAAGGGAATAAAATCATCCCTTAATCCTTCTCAAGGCAAGAGTTTTGTATTTATATTCTAAAATTTTAGATTTTGGTATACCTGTGTAGTCATGTCATTCAATTCATTCCTTTTAAGTAGAAGGAATGAACAAACCTTTGCTTCTGAAGTGTAGAAAAAGGCAATCCCTTTATAAAGAAATCTGTGATTGGTAAAAATACAAAGTATTTGCTCAACTATTTTGCTGATTTTATGAACAAGTAATAAAGGAGAATGCAGACACAAAATTCATGAAAAAACACATGAATAAATACCATAAAGGACAGGTTTGAAAATCCAATAAACACTTAAAATACTTAGTCAGTGCATAGACGCTGTTCTAAGTACTTCATTCATGTTAGCTCATTTGCTGCTCAGAAAGCTCTATGAATTTGATACTGGGATCATCTGCATTTTATGCATAAATGTACTGAGTCGCAGAAAATTTAAGTACTTGATCAAGATTACACAGTGATCAGTCAAATTGCTGAGTTGAGATTTGAACCAGGTCCAGGCTCGAGCACAAACTTTCCCACCTGTGTATATGCACATAGTGCATGCATCTTAAGGAACATTCTCCCTTAGCTGACTCTGATACTGCAGCATTGTTGGTGAACAAACCACTCAAGACATCACTGATAAGAACGTATTATTAGCATTTACAAACACAGTTCGCTCTGTGGTTGTAATCTATATATAGTTTTTCACTTCCAATGGTAAATGTACATATACACACACATCTCTATTTATATCTTTGTACTTCTCCTCAACTCATTGTTTCATATGAGATCTTTAGCTGCCAAACTGTGGTTCTTATAACTGCATTCTTTTCAAGGAGCCTAACCTTTGTGGTTACTATATTGAAGAACTGAAGCAAACTTAGAGGTATACAATAAGGATGGTGTAAGAATTTGAAACTAGAGTAAATTGTAAACCTCATGCCCTAACAGGATGGATGATATTGTGGGATACTGGATCATCTTAGAAATGAGAGAAGAGTCTTTGAAGACTGGAAATAAGTACAAAACACCCTCCACACTCATTCCCTCACCACTACTTTTCTTTGGGTTTGGCTGACGCTCAGGCTTTCTTGGTGTTGGATTGTTTTATTGATTGCCCTGTTGGCTTGGTTCCAGTTAGTTTACTTAAACAGTTTTCAACTCAATATAAGGAAATGTTTTCTGTCAATGTTACCTAAAGCCTACATGGGCAGTCTGTGAATGCACTCTAAGGTCTCTACTACTGGACATGTTTTTGGAGGGAGGACATCAAATGACATCATGGGGAATCATCACATTACATTATAGCATAACTGCCAAATTATGACCCAGCCAAGTTGACCCACATTTCAAGAGACAATTCAATGTTTGGAAAGTCATATTCACAAGTACTGGGGATTAGGACTTCAGTATGTCTTTTGTGAGGATAAAATTCAGCCCAAGCAGAGTTAGTTTTTATTTATTATAACTGAATTTATAGACCCCATGGTTTTTAGATGACACTGCTGTTTAATGCACTAGACTACATGGTTGGTTTGAACTGCAAGGTGAGTGGTTCTAGCTCACCAGCCACTCCTCGGAAACCCTACACAGGGTTGCTATGAGTTGGAACCAACTCCACAGCACTTAACAACAGCAACAACAACACTGTCTTAAGCTGTCCTATTACCTTTTGCTTTTATCTGTTCCTTATCTGCAACTGCTGATCCTTCTTTGTTTCCAACTTTTCACATGAATAAATTTAGTGATGCTATTGGAGGTTCGAATATTACATGGGTACCCTGTAAAACCCCCATTAAACCTGTGAGTCGATGAGTTTGTACCATTCTATCATGTAATTTTCTTTATAGCATTTGTATAGTACTATAAATTTAGCAATGAAAACATGCTGATAAATAGAGAATGAATAGTAATATATACAAAACAGTCTGTGAACTATATAATTAATTGTTTCTTTACTATCTTCCCTATTATATGTGAACACTGGTATACTTATGGTTCAAGTCCTGGTGTGGTGTTGTGGGTTAATGTGCTGGACTGCAAAGTCAGTATGAACTGTAAGGTCAGCGGTTCAAGCTCACCAGCTGCTCTTCAGAAACCCTACACAGGGTCGATATGAGTCGAAACTGACTCGATGGCACTCAACAACAATACTTCCAGTTGACATTTACACACATATGTTGTGATTCATCCACAAGATATGAAATCCTTGGCCTACTTCTGATACTTTTGTAATCCTGTCGTGTCTGGGTCATTGGTTTTTTTTTTTGTTTCTAATACGCAGCAGACCACAAAATAGGTGCTAAGTGAAGCCCATATGAATAAGTACAGCTATTTATTTAATGTATACAGTATCTCCCTAGGAACGATAAATAATTGTCCGATATGGACCCCTTTCATCCATGAGACTTTTATTTGTGTTTTGTAGACTAGTTGTTAACTTAGATAGATGTGTGTGACATAATTAAAATAACATTTGATATTTCAGGAAGCTATGGAGCAGCTGACCCAGTTTCTACCAGAGGACCTCAGAAAGGAGCTCTATGAACTGTGGGAAGTAAGTACATGTGGTTAGTATTAGTGTCCTAAGGCTGTCAGAGAAATCACTACAGTCCTGGTGTCTTGAAACAGCAGAAATTGATTCTGTGGCAGTTCTATGATTTCAGGCTAGAAATCTGAAATCAGGTGTTGGGACCACGATCTCTCTGAAGGTTCTAGGGAAGAGTCTGTTGCATGCCTTTCTCTAAGCCTTCTGGTGTTGCTGGCGTTCCTTGGCTTGTAGATGTCTCAAGCCACTCTCTGCCTTTGTCATCACACGATGTGTTCTGGTTTTTGTCTCTTCTGCCCTTCTTTCAAGTATACTTGTCATGACCTCATCTGAACTTGATTATATCAGCAAAGACCCTATTTACAAGTATGATGTAATGGTGTGGCACTGTAGAATAAGCAAGCACTGGACTGCTGACCTCAAGGTTGGTGGTTCAAACCCACCAGCCACTCCTTGGGAATCCTATGCAGGATTGCGATGACTTGATGGCACTTAACAACAAGGTAAGTCCAGCATTCTTTAGGGAGATCATGTTTCTTGGCATCAGTCTTTCCCTGGATCTAGGAACTTTGCAGTGTAGGAACGAGTCCAAGGGACAAATTTCACACTTGCCTCCTTTCTTGGTGTAGTTCTTGTTATTATTAAATGCCATGGAATCTGACTCATAGAGACCCTTTATAGGTTTTCCAAGGAGTGGCTGGTGAAAGTGGTTCCGTCTTTCTCTGTTGACTTTTGTTTCCTTTCATCTTTGTAAGATAAAAAAAAAAAGATACAGGCCACACCCTTGTAAAACTCCCTTACAGCTGATTAGGGTTGTAATGGGATTCATGGTGTTGCAGCCCCACCCTTAGTCCTCTTTGGGTTTATTACTTTAAATGACATCATGGGAAATCATCACATAGCTGCCACATTACATCATTGCATAACTGTCAAACTACTGAGAATTATGACCAAGCCAAATGTTGGGAGATACTTCAATCTATGGTAGTCATATTCACAGGTAAGGATTTACAGCCTCGGAAACACTGTACAGGGTTGCTTTGAGTCAGAACCTTGGCACATAAACACCACCACCAGGGGTTAGGACTTCAGCATGTCTTTTGTGGAGATAAAAATCAGCCCAAACAGATGAGTTACTTTTTATTTATTGAAACTGAATTTATAGAACCCCCATAATCCTGGTGTGGCTCTATGGGTTAATGCACCAGACTGCAAAGCTGTTTGAACTACAAGGTCGGTAGTTCAGGCTCACCAGTCACTCCTCGGAAACCCTGTACAGGGTCGCTATGGGTCAGAACCGACTCGACGGCACTTAAAAACAACATAATTATTTTAGTTGGCGCTGCGAGTTAATGCACTGGACTGCAAGATCAGTTTGAACTGCAAAGTGGGCAGTTCAAGCTCACCAGCTGCTCCTTGGAAACCCTATACAGGGTCCCTCTATGAGTCGGAACCAACTGGACAGCACTTAGCAACAACATTATATTAAGAAGCCATCTTATTACTTTTTGGTTTCAACTGTTCCTTACTCCCAACTGCTGATCCTTCTTTGTTTCCAACTTTTCACAGTCCAATCACCAGTGATTATCAGTGCATCTTGATTACATGTAAGATCAATTTCAGAGTGAAATGTTGGTTAAAAATCTTCAATTTCCTCATCTTTGTCAATAGTAGTTGGTACTCAAATTTGAATAACAGTGATATTAATTGATCTTTATAGTGTAGGGATATTACCATTATTACTGACAGCATTATATTTCTTTACATCTGTATAAAATTTTGTAAAGTTAAAACTGGAAAAAAACTTGGTTTCAACTCTTTGATTTTATTTATAAGAAAACTAAGGGCCAAAAAACTTTGTGTTGGCTAAGCTAGTGTGAAACTAGGATAAGCACTTAGTTAGCTACTAACCATAAGGTCAGTAGTTCAAACCTACCAGCTGCTCTTTGAAAGCTTTGCATAGGCTTGCTATGAGTTGGAGCTGACTAGATGGCACGTAACAACAAATCTCTTCGCTAATTGGGAACAAAGCCGGAACACAGCCCTAACTCCTAGCTCAGCATTTTTTTTGTTGTTGTTGTTGTCATTGTGTGATTTATTGATTAATAGAACAAGCATTTATGATTATATTGTGTTCATGATGCCAAGGCACATATCCTAATTTTGGTTTAAGAGACCTATGCTTATTCTGCTCCCATAGAATTTAGAATAGTATTTGCTAGGTTGCCGTGGAGTCAGTAGAATAGTACTAGTTTTATAGAAAATGCTAGTTGATTGGTTACTGAAATGTTAATCACAGCCATTCACCACTATAAATAACTGTCAACCCAGGAGTCACATCTATTTACAACAACTAAATATCCTTGATTATCATTTTTTTTGCCATTTGAAATGTGAAGTCAAATTTCAGTAAGCCGAGAGAAAACATTTTCTTCTTTTTTTATCTCAAAAAATCACAGGAAAATGTCTACCCCACTACCTGCATTTGTCATTGTTGTTTGTTGTGAAGTGGCATCGCGTCAGTTCCTACTCATAGCGACTCTGTAAAGGGTTTCCGAGGAGCAGGTGGGTTTGAACCGCCGAACTATTTGGCTCAATCTGACCTTGCAGTCTAGCACATTATCCTGCAGCGTCACACCAGGACTCCATTTAACTGTAAAGAAATACCCTGTGAGCCATAAGGCTTGGGGGTGAGCTGTTCCCCAAGATTGAACACCTGGCATCCTCACCTGCCCTTGGAATGTTCCCCACTCCATGCTTTCTCACATTGTCAGAGTCTGTCAATTGGAGATACAGGTAGACTAGAAAGTCCTTTTAACAAATGTGACCCCACTCTGTACTTCTTCACTCTCTGGGTGGTGGTTTCTGTGGAGTCTGTTCTGACTCATGGTATGCGAAGTAGAACTGCTCTATTGGGGTTTCAAGGCTCTGATCTTTCAGAAGCAGATTGCCAGACCTGTCTTCTGAGTGGGTTCACTAGTCGTCACACTCTGTGCCACCAAGGGGCTCCTCCTTCAAAGAGCAGGTACATTGTCTTCTTGAGGGGTTGATATAGAACAGCATAAAGTTCCTAAGACTCTGGGGATAGAGTCATTGCGTGCGGCTTCAGTGGATGATGCAAAGGATAAACTCTTATATACCAAAACTTTATTTAGGGCCAACCTGTTCCCAAGACAGAGGGAGGGAACTTTGTCTCCTTTCCTTCCTTTTTTCATCTTCCATTTTCAAGGCATAAAACTCAAATCGTTTTCCTGCTTGGATTCCTTGACCTACTGTTGCTCAATAGCTCTGTAGTCTATAAATGACTCTATAGTCTGAGTCATTTTCTTTGCCTTCCACAGTGCCACCTGAAGGCTATGGAGTGCTCATGTAGGGTCATGACCCACCTTAGGGACTGGGATCATTGTCTTAGGCTGTCAGTCACCTCCCTGTCTACACCCTCACATCAGCTGCTCTATCCCTCTTCAAGCACCCATTCTCCTCTCCCCTGACTTTATAGCAAATACTCTCTCCCCCTATTTCATTGATAAAATAGAGTCTGTCCGATGGGAATGTCATCAGCTCTGATGAAACCCGTAGTGTCACAAACTGCCTCAGCCCATCTCTGATCCATTCCACATGATCCATTAACTGAATATGACCCTATGGTCACTCCCTCCTTGAAATTTTCTCATCCCTGATTCCCTGTGACATTGCCTCCTCCTGGTTTTCTGTGTACCTTTCTGACTGTTCCATATTGAGTTTCTTCAGGTGCACCTCTTCTTCAGCCCATTTCTTCACAACTCGTGTTTGCTTTCCACACTGTCATTTTTCTGTTCTCTTCACACGTCTGGACTCTGGTGATCACTAGCTGATTACACCATATATTTTCCCGAACAATCAGTCTTCCCAGAAAAATCCAACAACTTAGTGAACATTGCCACCTGAGTAACCACGGGAATATCCTCAGTTTAACAGTTTGATGACTATTCTCAATATCGTAACACATTTTTTAATTTTTTTAACTTTTTGAAAAATGAAACACAGAAAACCGCAATACTAAATTATTAAAAGACTAAATTCTTAAACTGTAATTCCTCACAAATTGGAACTTCGCAATTTACACCAGAAACCCTTCCGTGTGTTTGACCTGATCCAAACACAGAGGTTCCCTCCTCTAAAATAAGTAATTACTTTTCTGATTTGTGGAGTGGTGTGGCACTGTAGGTTAATGTGCTTAACTGTGAAGTCAGTTTGAAATGCAGAGTCGGCGGTTCAAGCTCATAAGCCTCTGCTCCTTGGAAACCTTTTACGGGGTCCATATGAGTGGAACTTATTCAACGGCACATAACAGCAACATTCTGATTTGTGGTATTTTGGTGTGGCACTGTAGGATAAGCACTGGACTGCTAACCACAAGGTCAGTGGTTCAAACCTCCAGCCACACCTCAAAAACTCTATACAGGGTTGCTGTGTGTCAGAACCAACTCAAAGGCACTTAACAACAGTGATCCTGAATTTTATAATCACTTCTTTGCATTTCTTCAAGGAGCCCTGGTGACGTTGTGAGTTAGGCATTGGGCTGTTCACTACATGGTTGGCAATAAATATCTTCAGCCATTCTGAAGAAGAAAGCTGAGGCTGTCTGCTTCCATAAAGATGTACAGTCTCAGAAGTCCTATTAGGCTTGTTATGTGTTGGCTTCAACTCAATAGCCATGGGTTTTGGGTTTTTGCATTTCTTTATCATTTTATCACCCAAGTGTTCATCCCTACATATTTTAGCTTAATCTTGCCAATTCTTTAGAAAGTTTAATGAATGTCTTAAGTCTCACTGTAGGATAAGCTTGGACTGCTAATCACAAGGTCAGCAGTTCAAACCCACCAGCAGCTCCTCAGAAATCCTACCCAGGGTTGCTGTGAGTCAGAACCGTCTCAGCATCATCTAACAATAAGAAGTCTCTTTTAATCTAAAGTTTTGAGCCCCCCAATCCCTTTCTTTTGTTTACAAGTTAACCTATTTAAAGAATA